AGACTGCGCTTTGGAATACTTTGGGTGTTTCCGTGATTGGGCATTCTAGCCCGTGCCAAACGTTGCTCCACTTTGGGCAAACTTTGATAAACCCGTCGGCAAAGTGAAACATGTGAAGCAGTTTTCGCTCAAATGAAATCCCTGGTGCAACCAACCTATGAACCATGCTGCAACTTTCCATAGGCGTGCCTCTTTGGCTTTGGATGCTATCAGAGCCACCTGCGGTACATGCCATGGACTTGCGAAATCAATGGCCATCGCAACATCAACTTGGGATGCTGGACATCCAACTCATTTCTGGACTTATTCCGGACAGAAGTGGCATCACAGCATCACTATATCTAAAAGATTCTAAAAGCAATGCAAACTGATCCTACTCATCGGTTGAAATCAGTACCAATGCACGCAGAAATCCGATCTCCGGACATCTTGGTAACTCCCTCGCGGATAGGAGTGATGCACAGAGATGTCAAAATTGGACCCAGCATCCTGTTTGAATCACAGTAGTGAAATACATCAACGACTAGAACTTTCAGGAGGTTGCTACGGACTGGTGCATGCCTGGAAAGCAGCATATTTCCCGAGCACATCCCATTTGCAAAGTGAGTGATGGGCTCTGCTGGCCCTTTGTCATTGCCATAACTGGACGATGCGATTTCCAACGATGGCGCGGAGCTTTGCTTCGCTGCCAGATCAAATGATTCATATTAACTTACATTATGACATCATATTACACATTATTACACCATATTACATCATATTACATCATATTACATCTCAACTCACCACATTACAATTGACAACCATGGATGATTTCATTCATTCACAGATCTAAAATAGCATGGTTTTCCGTGTACATCGTTTGAAATATCTTTAACTTTGTCTCTGCATGTCCTTGCTGCCTTGCCTCATGCTGGGAGTATATGCTGCATTGGGGTGAACAGCTCATAGGTGCACGGTTGTGAACATGGGCGAACCGTTGGGTTGTACAGTGGCCGTACTCGGTGCGGCCTGGGCCAAGCAGCGGCCGAAGGCTTCGAGGCCAACACAGCTTTTGGCCGAGCGCTGGTGCTGCCAACGGCGCCAGGAGATCAGCTCCTCCTTAGCGCTCAACGAGCAACGAGGAGACGCAACGAGGAGACGAAGTCGAAACAAAGTCGTTGCATCTATTGAAAATGTCGAAATCGGTTGCGATGCTCATTTCAGTAGCGTTCAGGAGTGGATCACATCAGTTTTCCTCTGCTCATTTGAGCCACTTGTATGTTTTGCTCCTTTTTTAATCCTTTTTTCATCTTTTTTCTGAAGGCCTGAAGAACCCTCACCCCTCAGCTCCTGAGTCAACATCTCACGCAAACCGCGTTGAGCACAAGCTTCACAGAGCCTATGTGGCTCAGGTCGGCTCGGGTTGGCTGCTCGGGTTGGTTGCTCGGGTTGGCTTAGGGTCATGGGACATCTGTCTCTTCCGTGGCAAAGTGGATGAATTCGGCTTCCCACATCACCTTGCCCTTTTTCATCACTTGCAGGCACAGCAGGGTGTACAAAATGCGTCGTACGGATTTGTGTAGAATGTTCTTATCCAAGAAGATATTACAAGACAATTTAAGGCAATGATACACTCGATTGCCCAAAATATCCCAAAAAGCCATTCAACTGTTACATTCTCATCACATAGGTCGATTACATTCGATTACCAGGATCAGTCTTCATGGGTTCCGCATGGTTCCGCCAAGGAAATCGCAACAGTTCCTTCGGTTGCCCACCTTGGGGGAGTTGGTGTGGTCAACCTGGCACATCGGATACATCGGTCTCACGTCTCGCGATCTGACGGCACTGGCAAACAGTGTGACCCTCCGGACCTCTGGGAGGATATCGGATGCTCAGTGGGACTTGATTCCCCACAACATCTATTTCATCTCAACATATCTCAACCCTTTGCGGCTGGTATGCCGCTGGTTTTGGTGACTTGACAAGGGCACCAACCGGGACTTTGGACCATGACCCCGCAATCAATTGTGACAGACTTGGGACCTGCGTCTTGAAGAGGATGGTTCACTGGATGGCTCAGGAAGTGAACGCAAGCAGCCCTGGCAGTCAGCCATGCCAGGAGTGGTTGGAACCACAACGCGGGAGGTTCTCGAGGTACTGCGCAGAATGCACCCAAAAACAAACATAAACAAACAACACTATCACTATGCGGGGTTCTCCATGAAGAGATCAATTAACGACTGGAAACAAAGAAAAAGAAAGAAAAACAAAGAGCTGAAAAAAAATAGCGCGGAGCCAGGTCGAAAGGAGGGAAGCAGGTAGAAGGAGGGCGGAAAGCATAAGGAAGAATAAGAAAGGCAGAGAAAGCAAAGTTCAAGGATCAGACATTTGACTGGCTGTGACGATTTGCGCATTGCGATGCATGACTAGACACCATCATACCATCACCTTTCAACGCTCAACGCAATCTAAAGGGAAACTGCGCTTCCCAACTCGCATTTGCTTGGCTCTTTTTACGCTAGTTGAGTCTGAGTAATTTAGTAAAACCAAACATATCGCAACGTGTTTGAATTGCATCATTAAATGCTTTCGAAGAGACGCTTCTTGGTCCAGGAGAAAAAAAACGAAAGCGGATAGAAACAGGGGCACAAAAGGAAGCGACTATGCAAAGGAAAGCTAAGCGAAAAACGAAGAACGAAAACGTAGTTACAGGGAGGAGGACGGGGGGATGTGGTAGACATGGCTAGCCCCTGCCTTGCCAAAACAAAGCAAAACTCCAGCTAGCTACCTCCAGGTTTCGATCGTTTCGTCTCAAAATGTGGTTGAAATTAAAATCTTTGTTTTATTATGTTTTTTGATGTTTTGCTGTACACCCTACATGGGTGCCTCACACCAGCTGCTCGGGAAGTCACACAGACTCGCTTCACCTCGTGCAGTAGAAGCCAGCAAGCAAAGTCATATCATTGAGCCCGGAATCTGGTTGGAATGCGTGGAACAGTCAAAGTACTGTAGGATCCCAAGAAGCGAGTGAAACTCGGATGATCCTTTCCAATCCTTTCCAAGTTCTAGGTGACAAAGCAGTGCAAGAGAGAACAACATGGACGCTTTGCAGCACAAAAAGTGCCGTTGGAGGGACATTAAAATCACTGTGCTACGGGGTTGCTTCAACCCTCCTACTCAAAACATATTTTTCAAGATCACGATGAGGGATCATACTTTGAATCCTAAATTGATCGAACATGGTGTAACACATTGTAACACCACCATCAAATACGTTGACAAAACCCATTCGGACCATTCTGGTTTGAACATGAATGGAATCCGCTGAAATCAACACAGCCGGGTCAATCACCTTCCTGCTGCGTCAGCGGCCAACACACCACCGGAGATTCCAAAAGGAACCAAGCGCCATCGTCCAACTTCTTTGAGGCCACCTGGGTCATGTTGGATGGAAAATCACCATGCTGGATCTGCACATGTCATGCGGCACTCCTATGTTGCCTTGGGACTGCGCCAGAGATGACCGAGATGACTGTACAAGCAAGATCAAACAATGTTCTGGTCTGATTCGTCTCAGGCAAGATCAGGCAAGTGCGGCACGTAAAATTGACGGTGGGAAACTGAAACGGTCCAAACTCTAGGTTCAACATGGTTCAAGCATGCTACAGCATTTGATGAAATTTGCCAATGTTTTAAGAACACATTTGTTTTGATTTGGATGTCAATTCTGCCAGGTCATGGTTTCCTTCGTTGTATGTGAAAAACTGGCATCCTGCCCTGAAAAATGTTGACTCCTGGGATGCTCGGCCATGTAGCGGCCGTCTTCATCGTTTACCCGCACCTGCATCTGTTGTATCGCAGAAATTCACAGAAGAAAAACATGATGCAATAGTTGTGATTTTACATGGCAAATTGATGCAACAAAGGCAACATGGCAAGATATGGCAAGTACGTCTTTATGTCCGATCGCTTGGGGTCGCATCTGTTGAGTTGTTTGAAGTTTGCAGAAGGTTTTTCCAAAAACCCACCAATGTTTGGTTCCAAAGAAACTGTTCATGCTTTTGGGAGAACTGACAAAATGCTCTCTTATCTATTTCTCATTTACATGAAGGGGAAAAACGTTTCTTTAGAAATCAACTGCCCCTTTGCCACGTTCCAGCTCCAATAAAACATTGGCAGCCTGGTGAAAACTTGATGAAATTATATGAAATTCTACAATTCCACAACTTGGTGAAACACCGGTGAAATTCCCACAACTTTGGTGAACATGGCAATCATTTTGAAAGAAATATTTTGCTCTTTGGGGTATTCTTGCAAAACGTTTGTTGCAATCTGGACCCAACATGGTTTGGTCATGTTTGGTCACAACTTTGAGTCAAAACGCTTTGTCCTGCGAACGAGCCTCTAAGCAACTGAACAGTCGCACCTACAAAGCATCTAAGTGCACTTACAACCCCACTGTCCTGAAATAGCTGGAACTTACACCGCATCACTGGATTAGGATATTTGGCGGTTCCAGCGTACAGTGCACGTTCATAGTGCATCGCGTGTTTCATTCATCACGTGGGATCATTTTCATGCATCCATCTACCATTGATTTCTTAAAGTTAGGCGGTCCTAATGCACTCAGGTTTGCCTGAAGTAGGGGACCCCTACAACCCAATGGATTATCATGTGTTCCTTCTTAACATGTATTTTTTGACTTTTTGTTTTTATTTTCGGATATACCTCATTTTCAGACAACTCGACATCAATCAACACAGTCAACACATCTTTTGCTCGGACCTCGAACTCCGCGTCTTCTGGAACCAGTTGGATGAACTCCTCAGCCAAGTCATCCTGCGACATCCGCTGCGACCACCGACCGGCAGGCCACTGTGCAGGGTCCGTTGCGGGGCCAAAATTGGGGCGCATTAAAGAATGTGGTTCTTATGTTCGTTTTCCACTGCGCTACGAAGGCAATCTGGGTGTTCCAATGTGTTCCAAATAAAAACGTTTTTGACCAAGTGCGAGCCATCTGGTCCTTTGTGACGACATTGGAACCATCCGCCATCGCTGGATGTGACCATCAAGCGCCAGCCACTTGCGGTGAGGTTTGTTTTGGCTTGAGGCGAAATCAACCCTACGGCTGTTCGTTGCAAGGCTCCTGTTCTCTGAACTTTCACATTTTTCTTTGCGATGCCATAGTTAAAACATGTTAAAGCAATTAATTACGTATGTTCTATGTATGTTCAATGCAAAGGTTCTTTGGGAGGCAGCCACTGGTGATATGGAACCTTCATGGGCCAGCTTCAAAACGATCAGTGGTCCAGTGCAGGGATGGAACCCTAAACGCTTCGGACAAGCGTTGCAAATGCCGACGGCTCCATTCCAAACCAGAGTCACAAGATGTCACAAGTTTGCATCGTGTGTAGCTGGATCTGAAGTCTTGTTTCTTCATGTTTTTCAGGATGCATTCTTTAGAGCATTGAGGCGGTGAGAAGATTCATTCCGTGTAGTTCTCGCTGCAACCTCATGCTGTGCAATTTGAAACGCCATGAACTGTACCTTACCACGAGCACACCTTTTTCAAGCAATTCAGTAGACATAGCTACGAACCACAAATGTTCTTCCACCAACCTGACGAGCGAGCGCCCCAAAATTGAAAGAATGAAGGACAGCATCGAAGACGTTTCAAGAAACATTGTTCCATATTGTTCTTAACATACTGGATCATACTGGAAAAATGTTCTGAGGCCCTACAAGATTTGAAATGAATTTGAAAGAATCGCTGTCCTCGTCGTAGGAATGCTCTTCACCCTTCGACGTGCGTAGAGTCTCTTCCAACCGCTCCTTCAGCCATGCTCAGGGCGCTGCCACGGTTCACATGCGGTCGTTGATACTGATGATACTCGGCATTTACACATCATGTGATATACACCGATACAACGATCGGCGACACGGTGATACGGTGATACGGTGATACCGTGATACCGTGATACCTTCACGTTTCACATGTTGTCTTTCGTTTTGTCACTCATTGTTTATTGCAATCGTCATTGCTGCCTCGAACATCAGACTTTCAGACATACCCTCCAGTCGCAGCTGCTTGTCCACGGCATCCTTACAAGCCTTACGGCTCTAAGCATTCAGACACGTTCAGAATCTGCAGCCTTGTTCATCCTTGTTCTTACTCTCTTTGCATCGCTAAAGCTCATCACGCATCATCACACAGTCTTCCTTTCTCAATTCCTCCCACATTCTCTTGGCTTCCCCACCTTTGATACATGTTCAAGATTTTACCATATTTTACTTGGGTTCACGGTGCGTAACTCCAACAGTCAGATGGATCGTTCAGCGCTTAGCTACCGGTGGGTAATGGGCGTGAGGGAAGCAGCAAACAAGATATAAACAAGATACATTTCAGGATTCTTGCTGCTACTAGCTGCTAGAGCGGATTGACATTTCAAGAGATTTCAAGAGATTTCACCTTGTTTCACAACCGGTGCTGGGCTTGTGACTCGGCTAACTTGGACTCGGCCTTCTGGTGCTGTCGACTCTAGGACCTGCACCGAAACATCGCATGCGTGCTTTGGCGATGGTCAACGATGGTCAACGATGGTCACTGTTCCTATTTTTTACATCTTTTTGCACCATCACCTATTATCAGGACCTGAGTTCTCACGATGCTCTAATATGATGATATTTGATGTATATGTTCATGATGCACATGTCGGCCCTGGCCTCCACTTCTGTCATGAGCTTGCCGAACAAATGATATCTGGGCACACAGAACTGTGCATCGAGCACTTGAAGCCGAACATTAGAAGCTGTCTTGTCAATTTGTCGAGGCCATCCTCAAAATCCAGACTTGCTAGGACATCTTTGCAAAATTATTAAAATGATACTTAGTTTGGTTTCGTTTGACTTCCCCTGCCGTCTGCCTTTGCATCTCTGTCCCGACAATCCCACCAATGCATTCGCCACTGTGCACGCCCACGCGACAACTGGCAAGATGCTGTTCACACTGCTCCATCATGGTCTTTGGAGATGTCAAATTTAATGAACAGAAAACTTGAGCAGCAAAGCCGCCTCACTTGCTCCTTCCGGTCCCGAGACCATTTGTTTGTCTTTTGCACCTAGGCAAAGTAGTAAACAGGGCCATAAACTATGAACTGGACTTCGCATTTCGGGGCAGAAGACACTGATGCTTCGCAACGGTTCCTCTTCTCTGGTCAGCACTGCGCAGGAAACAGCTACATTGTCCAGAGACAGCTTTACTTGTGCATTCGAAGGGCCATTTCCAAACCAAAACGCACCACACACAGTGGAGAGTTTTTGAAGGTCAAAGGTGCTTCGGCCTCGGAACTTGCAAACATTTGCAAACTAGGAAGACACGGAACACCGAAAGATGAAGACATGATGAACACATGACTCATGGGGCCGAACCTGACCGGCAATGTAAGCATCGCCAACGGTCTCCACCTTCAGAGATAGACTTGGCCGTAGGACCGTAACAAAAGAAGCTCTCGTCTGGTCGTGCCTTGTAGACTTCGTGCTTGTCTGTGAGCTCGTCAAATAGCCTAGAGCTGTAACATGCTGTAACGGTGATACGTTGAACAACTGCTCTTTCTACAAGACAGCTGAGCGACCCAAAGAGCTCACCAATGAATTCGACCACCTCAGCAATTGCAGTCGACATATATGAAGAGACGCCTTCAAACTTAATGTAAAATTGTATACTGTATACAATATATTGTTTCAATAGTTTTAGATATTTTAATATATTATAATACATTAATATGATATTATATTATATTATGTACTTGATTTGTCAGGCTATATCCCTATCTATCATATCTATCATTTTTTTGCTGTAAATTGATCTGATTCGTTTTCACTTTTTTCACTTTGTGTTCAGCTCAGCAGCTTCTTCAGGGCGCCGTGTGCTGGCCAATCTGGTGAAACCACAAAGGTCCTCGGCTCGATGGTGATCCCCTGGTGACATGTGACAACATGTCTAGCCCGTTCTAGCCCCATGTGACAATGTGATATTATGTCGATATTATGTGATTTTACGATTTATGATGTATCATGATGTATCGTAAAATATTGTGCAATATTGCGATATATTGTGACATATTGTCATTTATATACGTAATTCTTATGTCTTTGTATGCCGTTGATATATATTGTTATGCGATGTTCACTCGGGCTTCAGATACTCAGAGTTCCGGACAGACTGTGCAATAGTGGCATTTCGGTAGTGGTGAGAAGGAAACTCCTCATGTTCCAAAACGAAACGCTTCTCCAAGAAAACCAAGTTGGCGAAAAGGACACATCTAAAAATGGAAGAAAGCCAACAAAAAGCCAACAAAAAGCATTAAAGATATCAAAGAGATTCAAAAAGTATCTTGTCAAAGGCTATGGTCCTTGGTACCATTGCGACAACTCTGGGACAACTGCACGAACTGGTTTAAATTTGGTACTACTTGACACGCCAGCCTGGCTAATGCTGAAGTCTCTCAATTCCTGACAACTTTACAAAGCGACTTGAGAAGTCAAGCAAAAGATAAAAGATGATATATAAAAGATGCAACAAAAAACAGCAGGCCTCGACTACCATCACTGGCATCAGAGTGTTCCTTGGCTCATTTGGAAGAGCCCCAAAATAAATCTGCAATGCGTCAAGGCATCACATCACAACTCCTGGTGCTGCAAGGTCACAAGATCGACTCCGTACGCTCTCGCGTGAATGCCACGTCATTTTGTGCCTGTCAACACTATCACTGCAGTGGCGCACAATATGCGCACCGTATGCGCAGCATGAACATGGCGAACTTTTCCTGACAGTTCGGGCTCGGGCCTTGAATCTTTGTCGAAAGCTGATCTCTGCACTGTGGGCTACGTACCTTCCGGCAGGTTCAGGTTCTCTGCGCTGCGATGAGTGTAGTATAGTGTAGTTTGGCAATGTGTGGTGCCAAAAGTCACAGCTGGCTCACCCCTGAATCACGCTCACGCCGATGAATACCACTCTGCTTTGATGGGTCATAAAGAGGTTCCTGTGAAGACGTAGGGAGACAAGATGAGAGGAGTTTAAGGTTGGAAGATGTTGGAAGTGCAACCACTGTTAACGCTACATACAGCAGCCCATGTTCGGGCATATTTTTTGAGACATGAAGAGAGTTTTCACTTCTTTCACTTTCATGTCTGTGACCCTGGCCAGAATAGCAAGCCACAAGACTCCAGCGTCATGATAGCCTGCAGAGGGTAAAATCAATCGGTCAAATCCACCGCCTATGTAATGTTGACATGTTCAGCCGGTTTCTGATAAGTGGTACCTGGTACAGCAAACGGTCTGGTCTAGTCTTACCCCAGAGTACCCAGAAAACCCTTGTAATTACAGGAATGCTAAGCCAAGACTCTCTGAAAGATTTCTGAAATGATGAATTGCTGGATTCTGAGGCGGGACTAAACATGCAAATTTGTTGATGAAGCCTGTATACATCAGGACTGTAGTCAAGCCCGTTCAAAAACAGGATAATATCTAAAGCCTTATTTTCCTATCGACCATCGTATATCAGCACGAATAGCTTGATCTACTTGTTCCTTGACATGTCTTGTTTCTAAAGTGTGCATACATCGTCGTTGTTTTAATATCGTCGTCTACTGCTCATGCCCATTCTGGGTCCCGCCAAACATATTCAACAGGCTTGGTGGAGTGAAACAAAACAGTTTTATGAGTTGAGAGCATTCATAGGCTTTCCATGTTCCTCCCTTAATGACTTAAGGGGTCACATGATCACCTATACAATTAATGCAAGAAAGGTTTGTAGATGGCATCCAGTGAAATGACCTCTAGGTCATCGACTGAAAGCGAAGAAATGAAATACTCCAACCGAACATCGTTCATGGTTTCATGATCGACTGGGCTATGACACCAGCAGCTGTGCTTCCCTGCGAAAGCAAGAGCAACGAAGACCAAAGAAGACCGAAAGAGAAACCTTGCCCCAAAAAACGGATCAAAATGTTCAGAGAGATCTTGAAAAAGCCGTGATAACTTGGGACATCTTCTGACGTGAACTGACGTCCTATTATCTATATATATCTATATCATCACTGGTAAGATTCACTGTGTCACAAGTGCATTGGCCAGGACTCGACTAGAATTTACTGTCCGTCTACGTCACCCATGCTTAGCATTGCTCAGCCGCCTCAGCCTTTCTGGGGATTCTGGGGGTTCGAAGGATTCTGAGTGATGATCAGCTGGAACATCGGCCTGACAGGGACATTTTGGGACCGGTACCGCTGACACTTCATGGTTTTTTAAAGGTACTTCATGGTACTTCAATGCATTCTGACACTTTCCCGGCTGCTTAACTGAACTTGCCGAGTCCTGCTGTACCAGCATTTGATGCACGGCTGGCAAGGTGCTGTTAACCATGCCAGTGGTGCATAATGAGCACGCTGTGGATACTTGTCTCCTGGTCCTGCCAGTGTCTGAGTCATGTTCAACAAGTTTAAATTATTTTAAATTGAAGCATGTGGCTTCCCGAGAAAGAGAAAGGTCTTGCTTCTTCCTTCAAAGCCCGAAGCTCCTTGATGTCACCATTGCTGTCAAATTCCGGCGACTTTGTGAGAGCGTCGTAGGAGAAAACCCTTCAGCCAAGGCAAACAATGGTTGACCCCACTTGATCCATGATTTTGGAAAGAAAAATGCAAGTGTCATCACAAACTCACACGATCTCACACGCTTCTGATCTCTGAGTTTTAGACATCAGCGTCGCAATTGCCTCAGTGCGACGATGAGCCCCGTATAACCGTATAACATCGTATAACCCCGTGAGAACATTGTGAGATGTTGTGAGGAACAACCCTGGAGAAACGTCATTGCAGGATGCCAAGTGCCCACACACAGTATGACACCAGCAGTCCGTAGTAAGCCTGCCATGAACATCAAGAGTATTCAAAAGATAACATGATTTGCATCTGTAGCAGTGTTTTCAGGCCCTTTGGCCCTGACAAGCAATACAAAAAACATATCCAGTCACAAATTCGCACACACACACACACGCAAGAAAGCAGTAGAAAGCAATAACAAGCACTTGAACCTTCTGGTAGCTGAGCATTGCCTCAATAAACCAAAGGTTCATGTTCCCTGTGGATCCCTGTGGATCCCTGTGGCACAAACCTCAAGGTGCTCAAAAACGCGGCAAGATCGGCAAGGTCCTAAGGTTCTGGCATGCTTGGAGGCATATGCAACACCTCAAGCAACACCCCAAAGCCCATCAAAGCCCGGATGCCGTACACCGCAGGATACCGCAGGATACCCCAGGATTGCAACATGAACTAAGCCAAGCTACGCCAGGCCAAAATGATAAAGAAAATGGCCAGCCGACTGCAAAGAAACACCTGCCAGGCACATCAGGCACTGCACAGATTGTTTACAGTGTGTTTACAATCTGTTCACACAATGTGTTTACATTGTTACAAAATGTTACAAACAGTTTCGCAAATTCGCTTCGAAGTGATGTGACGTGGCAAGCAGCCTGCAAATCAGTCACGTGTCTGCGACTCTGAGTTTGCAGCCGGTAAACGGATCTTCGCTGAAAACCTGAGGCATCGCTGAGCGGATTGTGAAGAGTTTCCACGGCTTGACCGTTCATCCTTGTTGCACGGCACTTCGTCGTTTGAATTTCTGCTGAGTTCTAGGTCCAAAGGTTGCAAGGTGGATTCTTTGGTTTTGAAATCATACATAGCCGTTCTCGAAATCAAATGTTTTGTACAAGCTGGCTTGCACATTTTTTGACGTTCAAGGGCTCTGTATTCAATGACTGTATTCAACGGATTCTCTGCATTCAGTGCCTTCCGAAGCTGTCATTCTCAAAGACATGCGAGACAAAGACCTCAAATTTCAGATGCAAAGCCAGAGTATTGCATCTGAAAGGATGAAGCAACCAGACCTTTGGTGAATGTTCTATCATGTTCCGCTTCGTGTTCTATACTCAACCATAGCAATGGGAACAACGCCATGTTCTAAATGTTCTATACTCAACCTGGCATGGCTGGGCTCTGCTGAGATCATTGGCACCGTAGAGCATGTCGACGGTGGTCAGCACCGAAATTACCAGTGCCTTGGTGTCACACTGCCACACCCGGAAGACCGGGAACACCGAAGGTTTCTTTGTGTGAACAGGTTGTGAACACAACCTGAGCACAACCTTCAACACGTCTGCCCCATTGTGCCATGCCTGGCGGTCCAGGCGAGTGTCCAGCTTCTTGCAGGTGGTGTTCTCGTGGAACCTTGACAGGAATGCTGTGGAACTTGCTGCTCAGTTGTCTCTCAGAGTCCAGGTGTTTCAAGAAACACGAGACAAACATAGACAAACACAGATTTTGCAAATCTGACTTTTCCATTTTTTTTGGAGTCATGGAAATGTCATGGAAGGTCATGGTCTTGATTCAGTCTTCGGATGTCTTCGGTCTATTTCGGTCTTGGGTTTGGGTGCGGTCAGGCGACCAGCGGTGAAACTTATCCTCCAACTCCTTGGTGAAGCCTTCCCGACCAGGACCTTCAGCAAGAGTCAGTAAGCTTGTTTGGGTCAAACCCACAAAAACATAGAAATACACCAGATATCACCAGATACATATAGATACATGCGAAAACAGTGCATGGGACATTGATAACCTGTACTGAGAAGCAATCCCTATCGTTACAAAGTGTTTGCATATTATGTTTGCATCCTACAGGAAAAAGATATCTTTCTCCAACAACCCAGCTGAGCATAGCTAAGCCAGCTGAGGCATTTTCTCGACCATCGTTTCAACCTGAAGCTGGGAATCGGCTCGAGCGTCTTTGAAAAATCAGCTTCAGGTGCCAAAATGATGCACGACTGCTGTGGTGCAAAGAAAAAGCTCTGCCGAGTTGAGGTCAACGAGAATCTTGCCCGCCTTGCGAGCAAAGAAGGCACTGTCACCTCAGAACCATGGCAAAGCAAATCAAATGCAACATTGCGCAGCTGACTATGCAACTTTTTCAATAATATGGATAAATAGTGATAAATATATGGTATTATTACGTATTATTGGTATTTCATTTGGAAGCCCATTTGGGTCTGCCGCTAGGGTCTGCCGGATATTGTGTCTTGTGAGCCGTTGTGAGCCATGTCAATGGCTGCGCACAATGGCAAGCTTCTAGTCTCAAAAGTGATCCTGAAAGCATTGGCCTACACTGTCTACACAAAAAAAACACAAAACATGATTATTATTGAATATCGCATATTATCGCATATTATCGTCAAATACCATCAGCATCGTGTGACAAAACTGCTCAAGGTTCTCAGCTTGGCACACTCTCATCAGGCCTGGAGGCATGCTTTGAGCACAGTCTACACTTGGCACGAAAATGCAAAGCACATCCAACACGATTTAAAGAATGAACAATCATTTGACAATAATGAACAAGAAAGGATTTGAAAAAGGCGGTGGGCCATGCGTGTGATACATTGCGGTTGCACGGGTATGTTGGGCCTTTCATCATCAGCAGTGACCTGTCAGAGCCATCCAGGTCTGAACAAAAGTCATCTAGGGCCTACAGTGTAGAGTCTACGAGTGGTAGGGTTGCAAGTCTTGCATAAGAGGCAAATTGTAGCAACATACCGGAGAGTGTATCTCACCTTCCTCAGAACGTCATCAAAGGTGGGGTCAATCCACACCTGGAAAAGCGGCGGAAACATGCGGAAACCATGAACAAATGTGAAACAATGTGAAACAATGTGAAACAATGTGAAACAATGTGAAACAATGTGAAACATATAACACGAATCAACAGAAATTAACACGACTCAGTGACTTGTCAGCATTCCCAAAAGATTGTCAGGAGCGCCTCACTGGTCCGAGAGGAACGACCTCAGCAACGTGATACCCTACGACTCACCAGCGACTCACACGAAGTTGCTGGTCTCGAGTGCACGGATAGCGTGTTCCCATTCTTATCATTCTTTACATGTACAAAACCTGGAAATAATCATGAGATATCATGAGTACAATGCCCATGAATGTTGCATGATGTGCGGATAGCTGTGAATGTATAGGTATGACAGTGCTCATCCCAACAAAGCTTGTGCGGCCTGAGCACATCTCACAGCACAATGGACCACTACAACCCCATCTCATCAACAAAGTCGTGCGAACATGTGCGAACCATAGATTTCTCTCCTCTGCAACGACTTTGGCCACTCTGCAACTTTTCCACTTTTCTCCGCGCATTGACCTTGCCCTACACGCACCATAACCACAGGCACATGTTGTCTGAACAGCAACAAGAGCAACGGCACAACGGCCATAACGGGCCTTCACAAAGGTTGCACTTAGTCACAGCTAATCAAAAAGGTCAAATGCGCTACTCACAGCAAGTGTCAATAATCTTGGAAGTTTCTTTTTTTCACGTCCTCGCTCAGTGCCACTGCTTTTTGAAGCCTTTTGCTCTCATCTATGCTCCTTTGAATCGGAGCCCAACTATTCGAAACGAAACACAAAGCCTCGTTCTTCTTGACCGAGACTTCGTAGACCGGACACATGGCTTGCAATCACGGAATATCACGGAACTATGCCTTTGCTGTCATATGCATTCAATACATTTCATTAATGTTAGCATATATCGCTCTGCAAAAAGAGCGTTGTCGGCTTGTCGGGTCCAAAACTCACTCCACCTCCTGAGGCTCCTACGTAACCCTCCTAACCCTCCTAAGGCTCCGAAGATTGGGACATGTTGGAACCATATGGAACCATATGGAACATATGGAACCATATGGAACCATGATCTGGCGAAATCTGAGGAAATCTGATGAGATTTGAGACTTGCCAAGGTCCGATGTGGGGCGGTGATGCATAGGGCCGGCTCTGGGTCGGGCAAGGAGCTCTTGGCCCCGTAGGTCTTGCTTTGAAAACCCACCGGAAGCGCATTGATGGCACAGAGAGATTTCTGAAGAGAAATCACGGTGTTTTACAACAATATATTTAAACAATGGTTTCGGATGGTTTCGGTTGTAACAATTGTGAGTCAATATAAATTGTGAGACTAAAACTACAAAATGTAGAGATGTGTAGAGCACAAAAAGCCGAGAGCCGCATCAAACCGCGCACCAGAATCCAGCTCTGCAATCCAGCTCATCTGACGGCATCATTCTATACCACTTGGCACTTTCATCTTCTTTTTTGAAGGGCCCCTTGACAAGTGTGAGAACCAGTGATGCACGTTGATAACCATTGATGTATAATATACCTTTTCGTGATTTATAACTATATATACATATATACATAATACATTAGAATTCTGTATATATATATATAATGTATGTATATATATATATGATTATATATATATGTAATTCAGTATAACATCCGTCAGAGCCGGATTTGAGTTCACCGGGATGGTCAGCGCTGGACCTGTTTCGTCCTGCACAACACCTCGATGTTTTCTGACAAAATTTAGACCTTTCGATTCGAACGATTTAAGCATCGATTTGCGATGGAAGGTGGAAGATTTCAAAGTCAGTCGTTCTTATAGATCTTATAGTTATTGAGCTCTTGAAAAATGAAACCTCCCGCCCCTGCACCAAGGACACAAAAGTCGAGAGAACCTATGAGAACCTTGTCACCTAGCTCAGTTTGGTTTGTGAGACATCTGAACCGCTTCTCTTTAACATCTGGCAGATTCCTCCCCTTTGTCAATGGTCATCACCGGTTTTCGAGCCAGCAACGTCCATGTCTTTTGCAAACACTTCTCACGAAGCTTTTTAATTTTTCTGCTGGGCAAGGAGTCTGCGATCTTCGGCGCTTTATACCCACCTTGGTCAAGTGAAGCAAAGATAAGCAACAGGCCGAATGCTGTGTCCTTTCCAGCCCTGTGGGATTCCAATGCATTCCGCATCATGTTGTCACTCTTAAGATCGACAACAAGGCAATGGTCCGCTTACACTCCAGAAAAAGGACATGAAAGGAGTTCCCTAGTTGTTTCAGATCTCCTAGCAAATGATTCAACGCAGTTCCAATCTCCCACCTCATACTGACTCATACCATCTGCCTCACAAAGTGGGTCGGAGAACCTGAGGCAGCTATGGCCAGGACATCGAACATTCTGAGATCTGAGATGACCTGAGATGGTCTAATATGGTCTATGTATGTCTGTGTAGATTTAGATCTCTCTGTGACCGCTCCAAAATATGAAGGGTCTTGCCATCTCCTGCCATGCCAGTTGTGTTGCATCTGTTGTCCGTTGCATCCAGAATTCTTTTGTTCAACTCGAGCCTTGCTCTTTCCTCAAGCCCTGGAGAACCCACCTGCTGAGGATCGAGGAGAAATGATCGGCGAGATGTGCAGCTCCATGGCTCTGGCATTCGCCTGTCGATCGTATCTGTCAAAATCAAATAAAATATAATAAAATCAAACAAACAAATCATGCAATCCGATGTGATCTCATGATCTGATATGATCGTAGGTTCGATCATTTCGATCCTATGCCCAAAGTCAGATTCACTATTCACTACCATAACCTGGATGTCATAGTGGTCATAGTGACACTGTCGCATGCTCTGGTCTTTTGTCACGGTGTTGGGTCTCATTCTAACCCTGGTTGAACAACACCAGTGCTTGCCAAATCACTCAAAACAAAAGCCTCCCCAACAAGAACAAAGAATATGTCTTGACATTTCTGCCAAAACCATACAGTACAGGTTTCGAATGTGGCTTCCTGTCACATATTTTTCAGTTTATTCCTGCCTGTGCCTGTGAAGCAGGCAATGAAACCAGCTGGGGAGTCACCTCACTCATGGAGAGATACGGGTAGCTGAACCTCTTTCAGGTCACAGAGCTGAGAATTTGACCAGCTGCGGCATTGGCAACTGAGGAATATGCAACCTCAACATGCACACTAAGTGAACGCAGAATTCACACAGAATGCACACAGGTCCAAGAGTGATCAGAAAATGATATAAACCTTGTATAGAAGCTGTAGGACCACGGAACTCATTTTTTAAAACTAAATAAGCAATGTCACCTTACATCTTTATATTACATATTATGATATATATATATAATTATATATGTGTATATATATATGCAAATATACTATATATATAATTATATAATCATATGTAGCAATGCGGAATGCAACTGACGCAAACGGCTGTGCCCTTTGGGGCTCGTGCTGTGGCCGGAAAAGTCCAGCATCCTTGCACAAAAAAACTTGAAACATATGGAAACATTGTACAAGTTGCACAGTCTTTTGGCAGTACGGACCTGATATGGTCCCATGTTCCTATGATGTCCTATGTTCTTTCAATGTCTTTCATCTACGGTCGTCTACTGCTCTTGCTAGTGCTGGCCTTCAGCGGTCGAGCTGGCACAAGTGGCTCTTGCTCTGTTTGCTTCAGGACTTCAGCCTGTTCAGCATGACTCAGCATGACCAATTCGAAGTACAGGAACTACATGGAACATCATGGAACTACAGAAGCATTGCACCAGAACGCAAACTCGTGGGATCTAAGGTCCTCGGATAAGAATACCGAATACAGCGACACCTTTGTACACTGGCCGTTTGTGCATGTTTTTGCAAAAAGCAAACTCTGAAACAAGAGGGACTTGCTACCCGAATAGGATCCCTGTGATGCAGCAGCAATGGTCTGTCGATCTTCATAGGCAATGCAATCTGACCATTGCCACCTCTCCCATTCCTGTGTGTTAAGAAATCAACGGACTTTCCACACTGAGCTGCAGCACCCGTTGAGGCTCTGAATTCAATTTCATGCTCGAATCCCTATTCTTTGCAGCATTTAATGTATACATATATAATATATAGATCTGTATGTATTGTAATATATTGTCTGCACCTATTTTCTGCACCTAATTATTGTCCGTCCACTTCACTTTTGCTGTCAGTGATCCGCCTCGATCGCGCGTTTTTTTCTTCGCGGGCTGGAGGAACAACAGCAGCAGTATACAAAGCCACAACCTCAAAATGACGGCCACCACGGCCACCATAAGCCACTGTCAAACTTCCCTAAAGATCGTATGTCTAAATTATTCTATAAATTACTGAAACTTGACTGACCCTGGGACGTAGCACAAGCACAGTTTAGCAATGTTTAGGACCAGTCATTGACCAACCCCAACTAGAGATTTTTAGAGCTGAATCCGCTTGCGAAATCGGTCTGAAAATCAACGGTGGAGTCAAATTTCTTCCCAAATGCAAATGCTCTTTGACGGTCAATCGCATTGCTGCACGTGCTGGCAAGAAACATAGGAGACAAGCGCTTGCTACAATCAAACACCACCAGGACCAATGCAAGCCCAGTATGGTCGCAGGCACTTTCACCCTGGGAGTTCAGTGTGGAAAACACACACGCTTCGAAGGCGTAGAAAACTTCTGATAGAAAAAGTAAAGAAACAGACTCCACATGATTCCACTTTGAATTCCATCCAAATCCCTCCTTTGAGTCTCGAGACTTTCAGGATTTCACAAGGGAAGAAGAGACCAAGAGGCGCTAGAGTAACGAACAAAATCTCAATACATCTTAATACCTATACAAAGACGGTGAGAATCGAAGAGAGTTTACGCACTACCGCTTGACATGAACGTCGCTTGTAACATTTGTTCTCCAATTCTCTGATGCGCCGCGGATATGGTACGATTTAGCATGTTTGCTGCACGTTGAAGTCTTTCACTCCAAGGCTCCCAGTGTATGGCACTTCCCAACCACCAGTCTCATTGGAGATGTTTAGGAAGGTCATGCTGGAACCCAAGACAGGGACAGGTCCTTTGCTCAGAGTGCTTTGTTTCGCTCTGCATGTTGGAACGACCGCCTTTCAACTTTCACATCTTCGGAACATAGTCTTTCAAAACTAAACATAAACACATAATAACAAATATATACAAATATAACATAAGATGAATTCTTCTGCTTATTGCATCTGTACGATTCTGTGCGCTGCGAGAAAATGAATTCCACATCCTTCTGAATCTGAGTTGCTTGGGCCAGTGGGAGAAATCTCCACACCAGGAGCTACGGTGACATGCCCCTGGTCGAGTCGCAAGATTATTGGCAGGATGGAAGAGCACAAAGCAGCACAAAGCAGCACATATTGCATGTTGGATTCGATATGGTTGAAATTTCCAACATCAAATGCACATCAACATGCTTGATATTTTGATATTGTGATATATTCTTTACGATATATAAGTAAATAATAGTAAATATATATATATATATGTATAAACATATATATATATATATGGCTGTGAGTCAAAACCCCCGGTCCCCGGTGGATATGCGGCAGCCTTCTGTTCAATAGGGTATTGAACGGTGGTATTGAACGGGAGGTATTGAACGGGGGGATAACGGGGGGTATTGAACGGAGGGCATTTCCTAAACAAACATCACACCGACTTTGGAGGCATAGCTGGGCAACGGAGCTGGAAAGCCCATAGTGAGGTATTGAACGGGTATTGAACGGGGTAGTGAACGAACTACCTCAAAAAACCGGTAGCCGAGCCAGTCATCAAGTTCTCTGCCAGCGGGAAATCACTACGAGTACAAAGGAAAACGGCAAATACACCAGTTGGAATCACCCAAGCTCCCAAGACCCAGGGTGCTGTGCAGGGTGCTGTCCAGACTGCGGTGGCGAAGTCTGGCAAAGGTGCTGTCCAGACTGCGGTGGCGAAGTCTGGCAAAGGTGCTGTGCAGGGTGCTGTGCAGGGTGCTATCCACACTGCGGTGGCGAAGTCTGGCAAAGGTGCTGTGCAGGGTGCTGTGCAGGGTGCTGTGCAGGGTGCTGTCCAGACTGCGGTGGCGAAGTCTGGCCAAGGTGCTGTGCAGGGTGCTGTGCAAAAAGTACGTAGAATTGAAGCAGGATATTTATTGAACAAGGGTATTGAACAAGGGTATTGAACGGGGTATTGAACGGGGGGTATTGAACGATGGGGACCCTTCTGTTCAATAGGGTATTGAACGGGGTATTGAACGGGATATCCACGAGTACCTGTTCAATACCAAAACGTTTTGACTCACAGCCATATAAACAATATGGCTTGGTTTTTGATCGCACATAGTTTTTGTTGCAACTCGAACCGATTCGAACCTCCGTGTCAGGGTGCAACTCCTCCGGCGGCTGGAATTCGCTGGAGGCTCGCTTCGGGTTCATTGGCGGACAGACTTTCCTCGAGCTCAACTGGGAGAAGACGACTTCTTACATTTTTTTTCCAAATCACAAAACCTCCAAGTTTAAGCAAAATGAACCAACATGATGTTGATTGGTCTCAAAATGTGTAATTACGTCAGCACGAGATCTACCGACCTCATTGCTACCGAATGGGGAAAAAACCCAAAACCTTTGTCCTCTTCGCGAAAACCGTTCAAGGATTAAAGCGAAATGATTGTAATTATGATATTTTTGTGTATGATGTCATCTTCCTCAGGACCTGAGATCAAACAGAAGGAATTCATTCAGCACCTTTCAATTGCAGCACTTGGAGAAGTGCTTGGCTATGCTTGGCTTGTCAAGGAACGGTCCACTCACAGCAAAGATTTCTGAAGGAACATCGCCCTTCTTGTTCAGCTCGGCTTGCTCTGTCATCAACCAACAGCCCTGCAGCGATTTGGCTCTCGCTGAACCCCCTGTTCTGAAGAAAGTTACCACTTGACATGACTTGACCTGATTTGACCACTTTGTTCAGCACTTTGTTCGCCCTTGCGCCTTGCCTTGCTGTCAGTGTAGTACGTAAAGTGCTGACACGACGCTGTAAAGGCCTCGCAAACGCTGAGATATCAAGAGGATACCAAGAATAGAGGAATCACTCAGGTAGCCAATGGTAGCCAAGACAAATATAAGGGTTAAGTTGGTTAAATGCGGTTAAGTTGGTTGAGTTAAGTTGGTTGAGGACACGTGGTAAAATTAAAAAAATCCCTCAGCGGAGTCCTTGACCTCTCAGAAAAAATATGTACGTTTCGACCCGGATTCTGCAGAAAATGGATGTTGCATGATGTTGCAGTTGCAGGATCACTAAAGAACAAGAACATCTGGAGTCCTTGAATATTCTGTTACTGTAGGATACTGTAGGTGGTTGTCCCCTGAATCTCTATTATCATCATTATCTTTTTATAGCGGTCTTTGCCTGGTGTTGCCTGGTCTTTTTTTGAAAACCCAGAATGCTCTTCCGAGCTCAGCAAACCAAGTGGCACAAGCTTTTTGGCATGTCATTGCATCCTTGGCAGATTCGACTTCACAACATGACAGATTCTACAGAGATGAAGAAAATGTCAATTGATGTTAGACCTTCACTACCTTCACCCCCTGCAAATGGCATCACACAGCATGTGTAGAACATGAGAACATGACATAAACTGCCCGGCTGGAGCGCAGCTTCCCTGCTGAGCAGCTGGTGGCTGGCCACCGTTCAGCGTCTGGATGTTTGGATCGGAGTAACTCACGCCCTTCATAGCGCATTGAGGAATGTTCGTCTCCGGAGTCTCTGCCTCAGATGGTCTGCAAACGACATTTCTATGTCCCTGTGACAAGCGTGTCTAAGATGTCTTATAAGTTGAGGCGAGATTCCAATGCCAAATCCTCGGCAGCTTTGGATACAGCTGATGAGTCACAGAATGTGCTTTTCTATGGCAAAGCTCTGCCCACAAAGGAAGATAGGGTGCAGCAAAGCTATGACAAACCCACTAAGAATACAACAAGTGATACTTGATGTGCTATTTATGCAACTTGAAAAGATACCTCTTCAATCTCGCTGCATCAGTGGAAGTTTGTGCTTCCAGGGTTTTCAGAAGCTTTCTTTGCATCTCTACATACCTTTACGTATCTGAACAATTCTCCACATAATATCTTTGTATATCTCTGTGGCTGAGCTGCAAAGACTATCGTGGCAAGGAGGCCCTGCCGCCATGAAATCATCCTGTCGCGGACAAAACGCGAAACATGTAGAAACATGGCGGGAATTAAAGTCAAAGCAAAGCAGAAAGTCATGCTTCAATTTGTGAAAATTGGAAGCTTCAAACGGTATCTGCACAGAATCCTGCCTTAATTCGTGTGTAGTCTCTGCTACTGTTTCTATGCAAGTCGTGCTTGACAGGATATGCTGTTGGGACACAGAATCCTCTGCACAAGGCCAACGAATGATTGACCATGAACATTCAAATGAGATTCCAACTTCGGTCAAACAAATTCTCTCTCAGAAAGCGATCAACTCAGCACTCTCGACTGATGCTGCATATTGGGCTCTTACTTACAGCTATTCATGATGACCCAAAACCAAACTGCAAAACGATTGGACACCAATTCCACTCATTTTTTTCAAGTTCGGTCCCAAGTCAGTCCACTCCACCCTAAGCTCACAGCGGACAGTGTCTGGGTTCTCCTGTGATCGCACATTGGAGGAACTTGGTTGTCGTGGGATGAGTCGACAAAGACTATCCTCCGTAGTTGCGTGACGCTGCATGCGATGCATATTATAATATATTATAATATGATGCATTACTGATGCATTCATGATGTATATGCTGCGGGGACCTGCGGAGAATTGGGAATGATTTGTGCCTTAGTGTGATGATGGGAGTCTTGACTTGACGAATCTTGACGAGTCTTGCATCCCTGGCTTTTTGTCACCGGTGATGCGCCGTGCAACCACTGAGGCCACCTAGCTCCCGCATTTAGCCTCAGTACGACGGACAGCTCCTAAATCACGGCACTATCCAATCCACAAACTGCATCAAACCGCATCAAACTGCATCAAACCGCATTGACCCGGTGGTCGCGCGAATTGGAGTAAAGGATTACTCTTGAGCAAGCAAACTAATGCAATGTAATCAGCATCATGTAAAGTGAGAAAGGACTGTGACTTTCTCCAACTACATTTTGGAGGTGCTCAACTCACAACAGCAGCCTGAGAGTGGGAAAACCAAAGTCCTGTATGCATTGCAATTTATTGAATTTATTGCACAGATTTGCACAGGCTAATTTCTCTGCCAAGTGATCTCTGAGCACCAGAGTGAAGGGAACAAGAAGTTGATTCCGGCAGGAGTGGCATGCGGCGAATCTATCGTGAAGCGAGGTGAAAACACGAAGGCTTGGTTTTGTCTGAACAAGTGATGATAGGTCATTTGATGTCATTTGGATATTTTTAGCTTATCAACATTTTTCAAGGCACTTGAAATGTCAGCTTTGACCCCACATCTCTGGATTCCTGCCACTTGAATTCTGCCATATTCTGACATCTCATCCCATCTTCTCAACAGCCTGTGACGGATTCATCGCAGGAAGCTTTCCAGAACTTTACTTTCATTTCTTTCATGAACATATCATGCAGTGCAGTGTGCAGTGCAGAAATATGTAGAATTTCTCCAGCCTCTGCCTCAAATGATGTAAATGACTATAAACGTTTCGGGGCAGAGCAGTAAGACAGCAGATTTGCCTGGCGCCGGCCACCTCTTTGCTTGGCAACCAGCCTCTGCTGTGGATTGGTCAATATCTGTTTCATGTGGAGGAAGGATAGAGTTGGATAGAAGGATGATAGAATGAAAGAACATGAAAGAGGTCTTTCCCAAATTTACGGAGTAGTCTTGCCCATCCTAGAGCTTGCCTTACAGAATCCGAAATTGAATAGAGGAAGCAAACTTGGTTTCCAAACGATTACAAAGGGCAAATCGGTCAGTAGTTTTCAGGCATTTCTAAGATTCTTAAACATTCTCCAGCATGCAACATCGCTGATCCGAGGAGACGACTGAACTTTGCTGCCGGACTTCAAGTTGTAATAGGCCAAGGTCCTGATGCAATCGATGCAATCGGACCTAACCGACAACCAACGCACACGCACACACACACACACACTGACAACACTGAGGCCGCTATCCGCCACGGTGCTCGCCTCTCGTCCCGCATGTAGCCAATACTTGCCTGGACGTTCAAAGACAACATGAAAGGAAATAAATGAACACACACCGACACCTTCTTGCAACGAGCATCCATTATACAAAGGGGTAAGCTCCCTGGACTTGCAGAGTCTTGTGCACATCAAAACATATCAAAACTGCAATCTGCAGCAAATGAAATAAATGAAGCTCTCCTGCCTCCCGAAGTTTCATCTTCTGCACAGGCATATGAACACCTCGGTCTAAACACGCTTCCGACATCCAAAAGAATCAAGTGCTGCTTGAGCTGTGCCGGCTGAGTGAATGACCAACAGCAGCCAGCCGTTCTTTCACCTGGAACAAGCGAAGTCCAACAGGTCAAGCAAAGTCGATAAGTGAGAATCTGATCTGTCACTGACTTAAGTAGGATTACCTTGTTTCCAAAAAACGTCTTTGGAACCGACGCAATGCACTGTCCGCATGCAGGGATAGTCCAACCAATTTGTCACTTGTTCATCTGTATGTTTTTTTCTATCTGAGGGTCATGCTGAGCGCACAGTGCGATCCAGCTGCAAACACAAGCGGATGGCTGATACCTTCCAGGTCAAAACAAGAATAGCATATATAATATAGCACAATAACAATGTAAATCAACGTCGTGCTCATTCAATAACACATCACAGGGAGTAGATCGTGATTCCTCTAGATGTGACTTGGCGCACCCCAGCTTCCGGATCCACTCTCACGTCAAAGATCACCTGGAGTCGTGGTTTCAAAATTCAAGCCATTCGGACTCAGCAGCTGAGCATTTCTGCTTATGTCCGTTTGGTTGATGGTTTGATCGCAAAAAAGTGTTCAAAGTCACTCTGGCCCGTGTTGTGCCCTCTTGCGTGTTTATATGTACCGTAAAATATCGTCAAAATATGTACGTATGTTCATATATATGTTCATATGTTCATATGTTCATATGTTCATATGTTCATATGTTCATATGTTCATATGTTCTATGTTCTATGTTCGTATGTTCGTATGTTCGTATGTTCGTATGTATGCATGTATGCATGTATGTATGTATGTATGTGTGTATGTGTGTATGTGTGTATGTGTGTATGTGTGTATGTGTGTATGTGTGTATGTGTGTATGTATGTATGTATGTATGTATGTATGTATGTATGTATGTATGTATGTATGTATGTATGTATGTATGTATGTATGTATGTATGTATATATGTGTATTATAAATATATATGCATACGTATATATATATATATATATTATATATAATATTATATGATAGTTTGCTCCAGGACTTCACTTGTTTCGAAAAAAAATCAGGCGCACCTACCTTTCTTTGAGACGAACAAACCTGACCTCTTGGGCATCAGTCGTCTGCTCTAGCCACTGCTGCTCGGGAACCTGAGGCATCGTAAAAGTGCGGTGTTCTTCTGAAGGCAAACATATGAAAGCGAAACTAAAACGAAATCCCTGTGCATCAAATGCATCGTGAAACCCTAATGAAACCGAACCTAGTTTGCGAAACTTGTAGCATGCTGAGCCTTCCTATCCAACACCAACAAAATGCACATCTTATCTGAAGCATGCATGCAATGAATTGTACCGCTATATTGACGCACATTCTATTTGTGAATCCAAGTTAATTTGTCTCTATGATTCTCTTTTTGGATGCAATATCCGACCCATGCAACATGTTCAGTTCTAGCCTGACTGCTCCTCACACTGAGGCAACCGCGAGATCAACCCACTCTCTCTTGGGTTTGGCAATGGTGAGAAGGTACTCCTGGCACAAGCAACCATGAGGGACTCTTTCTGGAGAAACCCACAGCAAACCCCTTTACAACCCTCCAAGCGATTTGGAACACAATCTCGGCTGCCTTGTACGGATCCACGGTTCCAAAGCCACGAGCATCCAGAGAACCTTTCCTGGTGAGGTTGCAAACTTTGAATCTGAATTTGTGATGTTTGTGATATTTGTGGGCAATTCGCAGCTCATATTTTTGCGCAACCTTACAAAAGCTACGTCGATGCAGAATTTGCTTCCAAGTCTCCTTGCTTTCTCACATGCCGCAACGAGGAAACCAGACTTTGATCGAGCATTCCTGAACTCACACCACGAAGGTGACTGAGTCAAGACCAATTGAGCTATGGCGGACACTACCAAATGCTTTACCACTCAAGCATACTCAAGCACAAACACTATACTGGGCTGACTGACGTCATATAGATCTTGTTAGTGTCACAGTAGCTTAGCACCTCAACGATTTTCAACAATGGCACGCAGCCTTTGTACTGCAGTGTTTGAAAAACCATGACAACAAACACAACATGCGCCATGTGTGTTGCGCGGCGACTGCGCGTATCAAACATTATCAAAGATCAGCAGAGAATTGAGGACTGGACCCTGTCTTGCAGGTCCGGATTCAGAGCCGAAAAAATCGACATCGCCTGATGCTGCAAAACGTGAGAAATCAAAAGAAATCTGGTGTCGAAGGCGGGTCAGGGTGAACATCGGTGGAAACACTTTTCTATGTTTTTCTGGAGTTCACGAAGGAAGTTGCATCTCCACATTGGGGGTCATGAGTTCAGCAGATTCGCTGCCTGGGACTACTCGGCGATTCATTCTCCATATGTCTCTGCGCTTGTCCCTCTCCGTACGTACGAATTTCTTGGCAATACACTGTCAGCACAAATGCGGGAAACGCTCCGAATCTGTGCGGTGCTTTGAGCGAGCGGATTCTGGGCCAATTTCCAGGACGTCCATGACACCACACCGTGTCCTTGAAGCATTTTTTCGCATGCGTTGTAAATTTCCCTATGTCAATTCAGTCTTCATCATCTTCGTCCAAGGCCTTTTGATTTTCATTCGGCTTTGCTTTGGAACTCCGCGTCAGCTGGCCAAAGTTTTGCACATAGGTTTTATCTGCAAAGAGGGAGCCTCGAAGATCCAATGTGCATTCAATGCGTTCGGTCTCTTTTGCTTGGCTCAATCGAACGAATACCAACGCTTCTGAGAGAGATTCAACTCCAGCCTCTTTCAGCGCCTTTGGATAAAAGTAGAATTCCACTTCACTGGCAACGGGAAGAAAGTCGGCAGCATCCTTCTGGTTCCCCGCTGCCACATGAATAGACTCAACGTCGCAGTTGGACACAAGATACCTCAGACACGAAAAAGAACAAATGGCTTCCTGCCGACTGCACGTGATATATAATACTATACATCCGCCGACCCCGGCCCACTGCAAGGGGGGCAGCGTTAGATAAACAAATCAAACTAAGGCAGCGTTAGATAAACAATCAAACACTAGTCTAATTAGTGTAGCGTAATTGCAGTTGTAGTTGTGGTGTGGTGTAATGAGTGTAGTGTAATGTAATGTAGTGCAGTGTAGTGTGCCGTCATGTTGCGTGCTGTAGTGTAGTCTAATGTAGTGTATTGTAGTTGTAGCTGTAGTTGTAGTTAGTGTAGTGTGTAGTTGTAGTTAGTGTAGGTTGTAGTTGTAGTGTAGTACGTGTCCCATTTCCCAATTGATCTTCCAATGCTTCATTAAGATTCTAGCATATTCCAGCTACCCCCAGTCTGACACTGGCTGTTCCATGTTCTTCCACGGCACTCTTGAAGTCTGCTCGGCATCTGCTCCACGTTCGGTGCATATGTCACCATCAATACCCAACCACCGTCCACCAGCCACTGGCTGCATCCTGCCACGATGGAACTGAGCACGTCTTCACCAAATGCTCCCCCGTTGCCATAGAGAGCTATTGCTTGTGAGGCGATGCCATCAGGGTTTGGCAGAAAGGGAGGATTTGCAAGAATCCCATCGAACTTCTGGCTTCCCTCGGATTCCAAGGCAGAATAGGCATCCCCAAGACAGAATTCACAAGACTCACGCAATAAGCTGTTGATTGCCAAATTGAAACGAACGAATTGAAGTGCCCGAGGATTCATGTCAGAAAAGGTGACTGAAGCTGCGTTCCTGGCTAGGGCCGAGATGCCCTGAACCCCACTTCCACAACACATGTCCAGGAGATGCAATCCCTCAACATCCGGTTTGGCATCAAGCAAAGCCAGTGAATCGTCAGACAAATACATCACTGGTTCAAATCGCTCAATCCCGTTTCCATATGGCCATGTCTGAGCATCTGTGGCAATGATCATTTTTTCCAATGGCCAAAGCCGGACGTTGCTGAAGCACTTCACCTTGGCAAACGACTCTTCAGTTGCTGCAGTTGCTGTCTGAATTGCTTCCTCAACGGAGAGTAGCTGATACCCATCTCGCACAGCTGTGACGACTTGCAACTCCAGCAAGAGCTTGCAACAATCTGCTCCTACCACAACAAACAAATCTTCCAGTGGCTCCTGCATTCGCAGAAGAAATACACGGATTAGGTAGGCCAAGCTTAGATTGCCCACCTCGTTGCTTTGATTGCTTTGTGCCAAATTTTGTGCGAATGTGGGCAGCTGGTCATCGTTGCTAAAGTCAATCAGCGACTCTGCGCCGGTGAGATACAAGATTTTGCTGCAGTTGTAATTGGTTTCTGCCATCAATCTTCCAAAATCACCTAATGTTTTTGCAGCTGCATTCCCAGGCGAAATCTCAACTCCAAACATGGATGGGGTAGTCTTCAAGCACTCGCACATCAAGCAGTTGTCCAGCAATGCATACAGGACTCCACGGCGCCTGGAACCCTCTGCAATCAGTGGTCTGGCGCGCTGAAGAAGATCATAGGATTCACGAACATCAAAAAGTCTCAAGCGAAGTTCCGCCATTTTCAACAGAAGATCTGCGAAGTTGCCTCGTTCTGATTTCCTCAGTTGGGGCTTTTTGGATCAAACTCTCCACTTCGAAACAAAAGAAACCACGAAACTTTCCAACCCTGCTGAACTGCGCAATCAACTTTTTCCAACAGAGAAAGGACAATTGAAGGAAACTAAGGAAACCACACATTTCTTCCCAAGCGGCAAATCCTCATGCCCAAGGGCCACTGCACATCTCAACATCCACTCAAGTTTCCCCAGCTCAGTTTGAATCAGGGCTCTGGTCACATCGCTATGTGCTGAAACCACCGGGTGTTCACAATCAACCGGATCAACCGGTGTCCATGTTTCAGCTGGGTCTCCATAGCAACAGTCCTGACAGGGGGCCAAGAAACAAAGTCAGCATGCAGTCGACTTGTCGGTGGAGTTAAAAAAAAGGAAGATGAAGCATCCTCACAAGCGAAATCACAACACGTGCGCACCATCATGTAATATCATGTAATATCATGTAATAAAATAGACATAGAGGTACGATTCCGTGTATTCGGTATTATCATCACCTGGACAGATGAAAGGGCGGCCTTGAGATCTTCGCGGAGATCGGCTTCTCTCTGCATCAGTTCCTGCGCTCTTGGCACGTCCTCGATCTGAATCTCCATCCATTGCTTCTGCAAGTCCTGTAAAGACTGTGCTGCTTGGAGCAGTTCGGCATTGGTCACGCTGGCTCGCTGTCGTGCTCCTCTCCGTGCTCCTCTCCGTGCTCTATGGCATCTGCGGCATCTGTGGTGGAGTGTGAAGCCCAAGGTGAACCAAGACAAGCAAGTAAGATAAGGAAGGTGACATGCGCCCCCAAACCGCTGGAGAAAAGTCCGGCTCAAATGGCTTCTGTGGAAGACTCTATCCAAAGCTGCTGGGTGTGACCAGGATTGAGCACAAGCATTGCCATGTAGACACGGTGTTGCTTTCATCTTCAGACATGCGATATCATGCGAGTACCGGTCAGGTATGCTCGAGCCTTCCAAATGGCCCTGAACAGGCAGTGTCTGCATTGCAGAAGCTTAAAGGCTCGGTTAGGCCAACGTGACACATGCATACAAGTAGTGACTATAGACATCCGTGACATCAGGGTCATTCCTGACCACCTCTGACCTGCCTCAACAGTTTTCAGCATGCAATAGGATGTTGTAACACAACAGGCAGGATACTGCGCAGCATGGCTTTTCAGATGCCAAGTTGGGCTAAGTTGCGTGAAGATCGAAGTCGCCTTCTTTGACCAAACCCTGAGGGCAAAAGGTGATGCAAAATGCTTCTTGTCTGCTTTACACACAGAAAACACTTTCATCACAAAGGAATGACACGTGAATTCCATAAATAACTGGAGCGCTAACAAACAAAGGCAGGCAAAACACATCAAAACACCCTAAGCATACCGAGAAATTCCCAAACTGCTGGGGATTCAATCCTCCAAAGTGCTACAGGCTACAGGCCATTACAAAAAGCATACTCTTCACATTCCCTGGCTGAACCCGTGTTCCCAAGAGTTCTTTCTTCCCGACTTCTCAACTTTGATCTTGACGGTATTGCCATGTATTGCCATGTATTGCCATATTGCCTCCTTGACCATCTGTTGCAAGCGGGCACGGATGTCATCCTCAGCAAACGGACACGACGATTCAAGTATCAAGCAATGTCAAGCAAACAAGTGACGAATGTGACATCTCATGGCCATGCTTCCTCGAAACCTCCACATCACAATATATCACAATATACAGATCAAATCATGTCACAACATGTCACAACATGTCACAACCTGCTACTGCATCAGGACCGTTACGCTTTGATCATCTTTGAATATCTTTTTTGATCTTTGAATACCTTTCATCTATGTTCATCTTAGTTCACCTGGCTCCACGGTGTGCGGTGCGCCAAAACCTCTGTGCTGTGAGCTCCAGGCTGAAAGCGCAGCGGCCACAAGCTTGGCCTCTTTGAAAATTTTGAAACTTGGAACATATCGATCTATCGGAAAAAAAAAAACATATTATGAAAATTTATGAAAACTATTGATAAATATTGAAATGGGATGGGTGAGGACATCGCAATGGGACGCCGGCGGTTTGCAATTTGAGGATATATGAGGATATGAATGAATTGCTGTCAGCCTCACACTATTCACTATCCCACACTCGAATCTTCAAATCAACCTGAATTCCACCAAAAAAAACCTCAAAGCAGATCAGTCAGATGGTCGCTGTGTCCCAAGATGAAGATGTCCCAAAACGTCCCAAGATGATCCAAGATGTCCCACTGGCCTGTTCTTCCAAGGCTGCCTCCTTGCACTTTTTTACAGCTATGAATAAACAAGCAGAAACGTAGTCGTAAGAGTTGTAGATGGGAAGTGACCATCTGGAAGTCATGTATGTCACACCGATCTTCTGCACGGACTCTTTGACGGATCGGCCATATCCAGCTCACATGCATTAAAAGCAGTCCTCCAAGTGCACTCGCTCGACCTCAGAGACACCCGCAGAAACACAAGCATGTCTGAAATGTTGCCCAGATCTCGACATGTCCGAAATGTCTTGAAATGTTGTCTGGCAGCGAGTCACCTCAGAGCTCAAAGGCTCCAACACGTGGAGATCGGCTGCGGTCTGACATTGTACAGTCGGAAATGTCGGTACCTCAGATTCTACATGTGGAGTGGAAATTTAAAGCAACATGCACCACGCAAGCAATGCTTCTGGCGCCTTGGAAGTTGCTAATACCATGTGGGCTTTTTGCATCCAGAGTTATCCAGTCGATCTTTGAAGCAAACAGTCTGTGTTTTTCGGCGTATCTGGTTTCACCAGTTTTCACATTGTTTTCACCACGTTTCACCGAAGTCACCTGGGGACTTGGCAAGAGCCGAGCCGCGAGGGGAAATGGGATTGGGAGATGAGCAGATGAGCAGATGTTGCTTCGCGAAGCAACAGATTTTCAGCGACCGAATGCAATCAATCTTCACATCCTGATGATTCACGTGTTCTCAGTGTTGTCTGCAGTGAGTCTCTGTGAAGTGACATCTCTTTAGTTTGACCTGTCACGGGTTCAATGATTTTGCAATGTAGCAACTGTCGGTCTTGAGCTTGCTTGAGCTCTTCAACTGCATTGTGGTCATCTCACACTTTGACATGATTGAATTATATTGATTTATATTCAATTGCTAGATTCAGCCAGCTTACTTATCTCACTTTGGTTTCCCATAAAATGCAGTTTAAAGATGTTTAAAGAAGCAAATACTCCAAGATTCCTCCGCAGTCTTTCCAACCACTCGGATCTACTAGGCGTTTTCAATCGTTTTCATGGTCGACTCACAAGACTGACTTTCAGAGAGTCACAGATTGAGAAAGATTGGTTGAACTGGTTGGTTTTGAATTTTTGGATCAATCAACCCACGATTTAACCCACGATTTCTGCGTGGCCTCATCCAGCAAGGAACGGCGACTGAAAGAACCGCCCTGCGTTACGAGCTTTGCGCAAAGATGCGCAAAGCATCTCTCCCCAGTGGTGAGCGTTGAGGACTTGTCGAAGTAAAGAAGACATACGGGGTATCTACATGTATCTACAGTATAGATACCTGGACAATTCTGTTCTCACAAGATCCTAATAGATCCTACCTGGCCCTCAACATCACTCAACAAAAAAATACAAAACTGCTGGAGATCTCCAGAGTGAAAGAGAGAAGACGTGGAGATGTGAAGGCTGACATAGGCTGACATAGCCTGACCTTGCACCAAGAACCCTTGGCTGCGTGTAGGCTACTAGTTACTAGTATGATGATTGGGACGAGCATATTATTCGCATGAGCTATTGTGCAACAAACCTTGAACCTTGTTATTGTTGCGATCATTGCGATCCTTGCCATGTTCATCTTTGTTTTCTTCTTTGCCATGGTGTCACTCTGGTGCTCCCTTCTCCCCATGCCGCCTCTCTCGTAGAACGCCTGCGGCTGGCCATCACACTGCGCAACCAGCCCTTAAGACAATGCTGGACAACCATTGCAGTATATTGAAAAATATTGAAAGTATGTGAAAGATTGTGAAAGTATCCAAAGATATCCAAAGTAATCACTGCACCTCAGAATACTCGACCTCCTTGGGGTCACGTCGGACATTTCAATGCCCTGAACAGCGCGCAATTACGCACAGCGAGCTCGCAACACCCTGCAACACCCTGCGACACCTCAACATGAGCCTTGCTATGCTTTGCTATGCCATGCTCAAGCTCACTGATTTCATCTGATTTCATCTGATTTCATCTGATTTCATCTGATTTCATCTGATTTCTCATTTCTCTCATTTCTCTCATTTCTCTCATTTCTCACTGAGCCCTTGGCCTGGCCGCCTTGGCCGGTCTCCCTGCGAGGGTCACGAGGTCAAGAGGTGTCACAAGCTCCATGTGCTTATGTCATTCCATGTCATTCCATGTCTGACAGATTATGACTCAGTCCTGACATGCGGACCCAGATATGACTCAGGTAATACGAGTTCAATATTTCCAAGATCTTCCAAGGCTTAAAAAGAGACTGGTCTAATCATGTCTAATCTGATCGAGCGCCTTGACGGTCTTCGATCTCTCCTGGAAAGCCACGCGACACCGTGAGCAAGCCAATAAGCTAATCTGCACCCTATTGTTCTGCTGATTCTCGTAAAAGAATAAACGAGCAAGATGAGCAAGACTGCGGCAAATACATAATTTGATATCAATTGATTTGCTTGTGCATTGCAGCAGTACTTCGTGCAGCGTTGCTCCTTTCTGCATTCGCTTTTCTGGACCTCTCGGAAAGCTGCTGCACCACATTCCAGGCTTCGTCCCCATCTGGCGTCGATGGCAGCTGCGCGTCGACCTCCAAGCAACACCAAATGAGAAGCTCATATAGTGGCTGTTGTTGTTAGAAAGTGTTGCAAAAAGTATCAGAAAGTTATCAGAGTCATCAGCATTGCAAAAGTACTGCGCAGAAATGCACACCACCGATTTCGATTGTGCAGAAGCCGGAGCTCAAAACCGTCTGTATGTCTGACACATAGTGTTCCAATAAATATTGTGATATGAAGATAAATTGAAGATATATGAAGATTGTAACTGCCTCTTTCCCAATGTCTGTTGGCTAAGGGGCACTGCGGAGCGCATCAGTAATCGACGGCCGGGAGCCCCTGGAGGAAGTCGAATCCCTGAGCCATGCTGTGCTGATGTGTGCTGTGTGCTGTGCCGGGTTTGTGACCAAACTGAGTCGACGTTGTCGACAGTGTCCACATGTGTCCACATGTGTCCACATGTGTCCACAGTGCCTTGTTTCCGCGAAGCTCACTCGCTTTTTGGCCTCAATCCAACGGATAACGATGTTGAAATGTGGCGGAACCAACAGAGCCTTTCTTGTCCCCATCCATCAAGCTTCACATTGGTTTCTAAATGTTTCTAAACAGAATTGAGACACTATTGAAACCAAGTCGACAAAGAGTCTGAAATTGAAAATCAAAGACACACAGTTGGAAAGAAAATGCATCTGGAACCGTCTCGAACCAGGATACAAGCAAAGCATCTACGGCTTTAACATGGAGTAACAAGAACAAATCATAGCAAACCACCAGCGGATGCAACCAATCATAAATCGTGAAGAAGTTCAGGAGCAATAAATCTTGGATAATCTTGGAGAGTATAGTATATGAGAGAATGGTGCCCTTTGAAATGCGGGGGCTGACGGGAATGGCTGGACGCATTGCCCATCATCAAATCCGTTTCCCTGCTAATGTTTTCTTCAAACACCTCTACACTGTCTATACCTGTTCAGGCTACAGATGGCTACAGTTCCCTTCCAACGAATCTCAAAGTACCTGGTTGGATGTCTCAAGCCAACCACAAGCACGAATCAAGCACCGTTGCACTGAGCCCCAAGCGGTCTTGGCGGGCTCCGGCTTGGGCCTGGAAGATGACAGAGCAGGACGTATCGGACGTATCGGTACATATTGGCCGTGGGATGCTATGGATCAACCGGATCAACCTTGAACACATTTGAAAAAAAAAAACACATTTTCGTCTTCGGATCCCTGATACTCATTGATACTCCATATAGCTCCCATATCATATTACTCATTACTCATTACTCATATTCTGTTCGTTTCTGAGGCGGTCGCCACAAGCCTACAAGTACAATCAAGTACAAGAGTTTTAGTTTTAAATGTTTTAACTTATACCAACATCTGACGTAACATGACGTAACTAAACTATAGTAAACTAAGGAACAACTGATAGGACTTGAGACCTGTTAACCCGTGTTCCTGTGGCCCCGCGCGCGGGCTCCACTCTTGGCTCTGTCTGGGGCCTCGGTGGAGGTTGATGCAAGTTTTTGCCGTCATCTCCACAGTCTTCATCAGTCTTCCGAGTCTTCCATCACTTCATTCTTGAGGCGCACGACTCTGCAAACTTGGAACTGGAACTGATATGCTCAAAGAAATACACATGAGAAACAGTGGGAGCTATCCAAACACTCTTTGGCTTTCAGCATCCAACGATTGATCTCAAACACCCACAAAGAAATCAGGAGGAAACGCAGGGGAAACCAAGAGGAAACCGAATAGCGCAGAGAAATATGGTCCCTTTGCAACTGCCGAACGCATTGTGGGTCAGTGACCCGGTCTGGGGAGAAATTCCCCGAACACGCACCGCGGGAAAAGCGCAGGTCAGCACTCTGCGCTGCTGTCGATGCCCAGCTTTTCTGTACAGGGTAAATTCAAACAGTTTTGAACGTGTCAATGTGTACTCGAAAAATAGAGGAACTAAAGTGACAAAGAAGTACTGTTTCCGCAAATGTCTGTTTTCCTCTGTCCGCTTGTGACGAAGTCTTGTGTTTACCTAGGTCGAGCTCTAGAGCCAGAACAGTTACATGGATAACAATGAACCTGAGGCATGGTAGATCATGTACCTTTCAAGTCGGGTGTTCTCCTGTAAGTTGGTAAGATGTTGTAACTGGCTCGAGCTCAAACTTCAGTATCTGTGCTCGCCAGAGGACGTGTCCCTCTGGTCTTCATGAATTCAGCGGGGTGTAGTCTTCGTACATACCCCTTCATTGCACTAATTAGTTGCGACCGATCGATGGAACCTTTGGTCATTCCATCGGCTATCATGTCGCGTGTGTCGACCCAACCTAAAATGCTGATGATCTTCGAGGTGGTCAACTGTTTAATCCATGAGATATGAGAGAGTAGTGACTTTTCCGTTGGGTATTTGAAATTTTCATTTTCCACCGCACTGAAAACGGACCTGGCGTCTATCCAGACATAAAGTTCGATAAGGTAACCACCATTTTCTCTTAAATTTATACTGGATTGGGGGCTAAGGGATCCGAAACACATTTCATGAAGGGTAGTTATGATTATGAAACTTTGATCAACGGATGCTGTGAGTGCCAACAACTCAGCGGCGAATGTGCTGCGTACCACGAGCTTATGAGATTGAGAAACGGCCTCAATCAAATGGCATCTCTTCACACCTCTCATATCAATACCCATTCGAAGATATACTGCGCCTCTCAAAGCGTATCCCTTATCATTTTCTCTGGAGAATGCTGAGTCAGAGTATAGTTCAACAACCCTGCTGCAAGTCATTGAGCTATACTCCAATCTCTGGGGACGACGTTGGAGCTCTCGGGTGAGTGCATTCAGTCTTTTGACATGTGTAACGGTGGGATTCTGAGTTACACGTTGGAGGGAAATTATATAGACTAAGACCCACGCCTGTGTTAGGGCGGAATAGGCAACGGCTCCTAACAAGCTCCAATACAGCGCTCTGAGGTGCTCGGGGCATGGTGCGTCCTTCTGGAGACTGGCATAGTGTTTTGGGTTTATGGGTTTTAGTGCACTAAGATATTCTGTCTGATCAAGTGTGATAGTTCCATCTGGAAGTCTTTTATGACAAATACCACAGTTTGTAAATTCACTTTCTTGATATGTCAATTTCCCAAAGTGCCCTTCCAGAGTTTTAACCAAAGAATCTATTTCTGATTTCAGACCTGCCATCTTGATGTCATCTACATGGACGGTTATAGCTAAGACTAGGGTTTCTTTCTTATTTAACATTAATAATTGGGGGTCATATAGAGATGCTCGAAACCCTAATTCCTTGAGGATGTTGATCAGCCTCAAGTTGAATGCTCTGGGAGCGTCTCTGCAGCCAGTGCCAGGTTTTAGACACTTGAGAGCTTCCGTTCGCTCATCAAAATCTTCATATCCTGGGATCCGTCTGAGATGTTTGGCTGTTCCTGCCGGGACAGTAAAGCTTATGTGTTTCTCGGGCTCTCCGGTCAACTTATTCATCTCGGAAAAGGTTAGCCCTTGAAGAAATGCTTTGCTTATGTCCACAGCGACAAAACTCCAATCTTTGTGGCAGGCTGCTTCACTAGCTAGAATCTTTTGGGATGTTCTTTGCGCAGTGGCCGAGAAGTTCACTTCATCTTCGGTTTGCGGTTCCTTGAACCCTCGCAAAGCCAATCGCATCCTGATGATGCGCTTCCCGTCTACATATTTCCACTTAGAGACTAGCTTGGCGTCGATCAGAACCTTACACTTCTTTTTGGGGATCCGTTCAAAACAATTATACTTATGCCAGGTTTCGTACTCTTTAACTGTTGCTTCATCAACTTCTTTACGATGGTCAATCAACTCCTTAGCAGTAAGCAAGTCCGTATCTCTCTCGATGACTTCTTTCTTGGCTTCTGCATTAAGGAATACTTTCATTGTGTTGGGTTTAGACACATCGCGACTGTCTTGGAAGCATTCAGTGATACTTTCTGAGATCAATACTTCAAGAAATGGTTCATCATTTTCATCAAATTCAAAAGTGTGATCATACTCGTCGAAATCTGGACTGACTGTTGGTGGTATTAGATCCCAATCATTGTGGTTATCTGGATTTGAAAAATAACACCAATCATCTTTAATCTCCACATCTGCTACTTCATCTACTGGTTCGTTGAGAACTACCCAGCACAGCTCCTTGAGATCACTTTGGATTTCTTTGGGAGCACCTTCGAAGTGTTGTATATATAATGCTTCAACCTCGGGAGAGTCAATGCTAACTTGAGATTCCTCAGCGATCGTACTGAGCCGCCCATCACTACGACCCACCTCGATCTCTCGATCGAGATGCGCCATAGCCGACGGACGGTCCAGCACTTTCTCCTCGAAATCATCAAGTGTCATTCCGACATCTCTGTCTAGCATAAAACACTGCATGGTTGCCACGAAGGACTCCTGTGGACCAAAGATTTTATTGATGTTTTGTCTCGGATGATCGGCAACACGTATGAGCATTGCATCTGGGTTGTTCATGTTCCAATTGAAAATCACATTGCGGTATCTGTCGTTCAAATCTTGCAGCTGTTTGATTTTATGTCCAATTCTTACAGTGCAGATATCATCCATCTGGAGGGAATTTGTTATGATGAACTCTAGTGCTTTTGAAATTTTGGGCCATCGCTTGGTGGTTTTCGTCAGTCTGTCATTTACATACCCAAAAACTTCAACACGGCCATCAGGGAGTTCATTCAAAAATTGATGGATGTATTCCATGGCATTCAAACAGATATCCGCATTGGTGTGTCCATAAAGAGAAACTGTTGCATAGTATTGTGCTGGGCGTACATCTTGGAGGCGATATGGTCTGGTCTGTCCATTAATTTTAAGAGCTACAATGCCATCTGCGGCTACACACTCTACGACTTCATATGGACCGGTCCAGCCACTCATGTCTTTGCTCGAGGGCGTTCGGTATAACTCTACCAAGTCTCCTTTTGCAAAACGGTTTTCTCCCGACAAGGCAGTTTTGGACCCCAAAGCTCTTTTGATACGAGATGCACTCGTGGCTGAAACCATAGACTGCAATGCAAGTTCGCGGATGCGAGCATCAACTCTCTCTTCCAAGCCGGCGTTGTCAGTAATTGGCGGAAGGCATGCTGGTTGTCTTCCCATCACTACCTGGTAGGGTGTAACTCCTCCTACATGTGTTAGTGCGTTACCCATAAAGACGCTATTGGCAAGTAATGATGGGAAGTTGATGTCAATACCTTCTCTTATGGCTTGGGATTCCATCACATGCATTGCGTGTCTTAAGATCGCTCCTCTCCTCTCGATGTACCGAGCGTGTTGGTCCTTGCCTCTTACCTTTAAGACTACACCCATACGCTTCAATCTTGCTTCAGCGCTGGATGAAGTCAAACCAGCCTCACTGTCGGTGACAAGCTGTTGAGGTGGGCCAAAGATGGATACCCATGCTGTGTGAAAGTTCGTGATTAATTGGTCTTCTGTTTTGTTAGGAGTTTCCACAGCAACATGCCATCTTGTCGCTCTGCAAATAAAGTGATGTACAACAAATTCTCGATAGAACATCAAATCGGTTTCTACTACTTCGTTGAAGTTCATGGCCAAAGAAACAGAGGGTTGAGTATCTTTGGCTTTTGGTGCCCACTTGCGGCATTCACGGCAGGTTGAAATGATGTCAGGAATGTAGCTTATGACTTCTTCAGGTATGCCTGCATTTCTTAAAACGCTAGTCATGTTGGTGGGGCCTGCATGCCACCATCTTAAATGCAGCTTCCTGAGTGTTCGAATAATAGTTGGTTCATGACTACTTCTCAAGTCTTTTAGACTATGAGTGACATCAAATCTAGACCAGTCAGATGGATGTTCACTGCCTGCGGCCGCATCCCGGAACTTTCGATAAGGGCCTCGGAGTCTGCTCTCGGCAGGTTCGCCGTCATCTGGATTGTAGGGGACAATCCTATCTTCTACTGGAGGTGCTGCCCCTACGGCTGAACTACTAGCAGCTCCTTCACCGGCTCCCAAATCGGTTCCATCAGGCAGTTGGGCCTGAGAGTCTTGAACCGGAAGTTCATCAGCCCGCTTGGCTGGTTCTCTGGGATGATGGCCTTTTCGATGAATGCCCTTACGGTGAGCTATGGTCATGTGTTTGCACTCACCTTGGGCATAAGTATGTGAACTATCACCAGCAGGTTTCATTTTCTTACATCCAGGACATGTCCATATCACGGGGGCATCTAAAGGATATTTACAGGTGTCAGGGTCACGAGTGTGCCGTGGATCATTCCTATTTAGATGTCCTTTGCATCCTGGGCATACTGCTGGTCTCTTATCTGGATCTTCAGCGGGTTCACTGCTTGGCTCGGATGCATCAGTGCTCGTGCCGATGGTTGGATAGGCATGCTCTCTTGAGTTGACTAGTTCTCGAAGGTTAGTTATTCCATCTACTATCGATGTAGCTAGTTTCCATGTCCACAGTTTACAGTGACTAGCTTTTCCTCCTTCGAGT